AGACCGTCTCCTGTCAACTCCAACATCATCAAAATTACGAGGTTTCCACCACCTCAAAATGTAAGACAAACAAAAAAATTTCTTGGTGTGTGCTCTTTCTATCGTCATCTCATACCAAATTATTCGGAACTCATCTTCCCTCTAACTCAAGCGACACTGAAGTATTCCAAATTTAAATGGACAGCAGAATGTAATAATGCTTTCCAAAAATTACAACACATTTTTTTCCACTCCATTCGTCATTCTTCCCGACTGGAACAAATCCTTCATCCTCAACACGGATGCATCAAAAGTTGCCATTGCTGGTGTCTTACTTCAAGAAAAAGAAGGTAACCTCCATCCTGTAAGCTTCTTCAGCAAAATGCTTTCCCCTTCAGAAAGATCGTATCCTGCAATCAAACTGGAACTCTTTGCTATCTTTAAATCCATCATTGCTTTCAAGCAATATCTATACAATCGTAAGTTTGTCTTACAAACTGATGCAAAATCCTTAATCCATTACAAAAAAGTCCAATCACCCGCTGACCTAATTACGAGGTGGCTCCTACAAATCAGTGAATATGACTTCACTATCGAACATGTTCCTGGATCAAAGAACGTGCTTCCAGACTACCTGTCCCGCATCCTTAATGGACAAGAAATGAAGACACCTATATCCTTCTCTGAAACCACCGATGATCGTATCCTCCCGTATATAGACACTATCAATGCCTTGGTGACGAACACTCCAAAAAATGAAATCTCCATCTCAACTATCCGTCCAGAACAGATGAATGATCCATCCACACTTGAAGTCATCCAGTTTTTAAAATCCAACTCCCTTAGAGGCTCTCAACAGTTCAAAAACTTCTTTTTACATCCTCAAGACAATGTCCTTATGTTTCTTTCTCATAAAGATGATATGAAAATTGTCCTTCCAGAGTCCTTGAAATCCAAGGCTCTCCAGATTGCTCATTTCAATCATTTTGGATTTGAGAAAACATACCAGTTCCTCACACAAAGATATTTCTGGAAAAATATGTACACCGATTGCAGATTCCATGTCCTGTCCTGCGATAAATGCATTAGACTAAAAAGAATCAAACCAAAGCAAGCTCCTTTCTTAAACCATTGGATTCCCGACCACCCAGGTCAATTCATATCACTGGACATCCTTGGTCCCATTGATGGCCATCATGTGCTCACTGTGCTTGATCACTTCTCTAAATTTTTAGTCTTATATCCTCTCCTCAACATCACCTCAAATCAAATAATTAAGCACATCCTTAATTACATCTCTCTACACGGACGACCAGCCTACATCTTAACTGACCGTGGTAAGCAATTCATCGCAGAAGCCTTCCACTGTTTAAATAATGCTCTCGGCATAAAGTTATCTCATACAACTCCATACCATGCCCAATCAAATGGACAATCTGAAAGAATTAACCTGTCTATTAAATCTACTATTAAAATCCTTAAAGAAAACAATATATCTTTTGAAATTGCTTTACAAATCCATCAGCAAATGTACAATGCAGCAACACATTCTACGACTGGATTCAGTCCCAACCTCCTTCATCTCGGGAGACAAGTTTCCCTCTTTTTCGACACTTTTAACAAAGAAGTCTCACCGAGCCAACTTGACTCTTCTTCCTACATTCAGCAAGTCCTCACACAACTTCAGTCTTCTTACAAACTTACGTATGAAAATTTATTAGCAGCCCAAGATATCCAAAACAAACGACACTTGACAAAATCAAAGCTGCGACAAATCAATGTCGGTGACACTGTCTATTTAAAGGATGACACCTCCTTTAAAACAATGTTCCAAGGACCATTTTCTGTTATCAACAAGATCAACACCCACATCTTCGAAATCCAATGGCTGGATAATGAGTTTTCCCCATCGAAAACTGTACATATAGACCGTCTACATTGTGCTCCTCCAAGACGACATCAACTACTGGACTGTATCTCTCCACCAATGTGCACCTCCCCTAAAACCGTATGTCAATACAATTTACGTAGTAGAAAATAGTAGTGCATACTCCATACTCACTAAAACTCAATAGCTTCCAGTACAGCCGTCCTTTAACTGCCCATTATCAATTATCAGATTCATCATCCTCATCTCATATAATTCCTTTATCCTGTCAACGCTATCATCCTGAATATCCAGTGTAATTATCTCATTATTCTTGACCAACAGTAAAATCTGCTGTTCATCCTAATGTTCAAATCCACAAATCAGTGGACTATCACCCAGAGTACCAGTGATTCATCAGTTAACTCGTAGCACTCCTCCATTGTGTCAACTCTGCTAAATCCACCCTCTTCCGAAAACAAGGATTTCAAATTTCTTACAAGCAACTGCCTTTTTTTTCCCAATTCATCTTTCGGTTCATCTCGATATGCCACTATGGGAAGAACTCTTACTATTGACTAGTTGATGTTATCATGCTGGTCGTGATGGCAAATCCTGCGCAGGTTTTCAACACTGTCTTCAGTCTGATTCTAACCTATTGCTGTCATTTTCGAGTGATAATCTTCCATCCTTGTTCCTTGGGGTTTGTGCATTCCTGCCCACTACTCATAATCTAATTTTTTATCCGTATCCATGTCTTAATCTAATACAGTAGCCACTAATAATTTCTTTATGTCTCATACGAGAAATAGTTCTTACTAAGTCATAACTCCAGGTGTCCCTGATTTATAATCTTAAAAAGGTTGATGAGACTACGGTAGTATAAAATTTTATTCAAATCCGTCCACATGGATGAATTTTAATATCTAATTTCTCCTTTTGATGTCTAAGTAGTTGTGAGCCATCTGGCTTAAACACACCAGTGGTGTTGAGTAGGTCATCATATGTATATATTCATAAATTTTTTTATATTGATATATCCTTTCAACCCAATCATGATACGTATAGTGCAATCTGCACAATCAGGGATGTATATTCAATAATGATACTACTGTTTGCTTGTGTATCCTAATAATTGGTAATTCATCCTCTTCAATTACCAATCAATCATCAAATGTATATTTTCTCTTTACATAAAACTAAGGTGATCACCGAATCACCATCTTACACTATATACTACATATGATTTCAGTATATATGTGGTATAAAAAAAAATTCTATGTATGTCTAATTATACATATTAATTAATCATGTGATGTAATATGTACACGCCTACGAAAATATGATATCGTTTATACATGTCTCTGTCAGGGCAATTGCATGCTCCTGTCTTACACTGTGACTTTATATGGTCAATTGAACCTGTAGATATGTTTAGCAGATCACTATGTCACTCCCTTGTTGTTACTACTTATATTTCGTAACAATTCTTAGTAGTAACTATCACTTCAGACAAAAATGTACCTTGTACAATTGTGAGGATCCCCTATTGTTTTTTTTTCCTCTCAAAAAAAATTTTTTTTTTCCCCATCTCAGTGTCCATAACACTGGTTCCTAATTTTGTCTCTGTGTCTACTTCAAGGACATATACTTATTGAGTTATTTTTTTCTTTCAAATGTATCCCTCTGGCTGTCCAAATGACAGACACCCGTCTGAGCTGATTGTCGCAAAATTTATATAAACATAGCAGACAACCAGCCCCCCAAGATTTATATTAGTCCAGGTCTTTATGGGTGCCTAAAATGTGGCAAATCGTGCTACCTATTGTTGTTGCATTTGTTTAATTTTCCTTATTATGTATTTATGTGTCAAGGATTGTCTCCTTTTCACATGTTTTTTTCTTGACATCTGGTGTTTCTGTGTGCGTGACCATACCCGGGCAACATTCGTTGAGTTACTCACCCAGAGGCACCGATGGTGTACCTTTTCTTGTCGAGCATAATCTGTCCGAAGCTTGTACTTTCAGATGCCACGAGATGATTTGCTGATTCCTTCAGATGACAACTTGTGTCAAATCAAGTGCTTGCCATCATCAGTACTGACTGAGATGTTATCCGGTGTCCAGTAGTACATCACCAGGAACTGTGTGGTGACAACCATAGTACTCAAAGTGTGCTATCTTGTGCTCCGTGATGAGAACTCTAGTCTAGTGGAAACAAATGGTATTTTTTCCCCCCATAGAATACTCCATTGTTGCAACAATTTTTTTTTCAACTTCATTACATTGTATTATCCTCCTAATCAAGTTGTTGTCGTTATGAAATCTTTCTTGTTTACTTGTGGTATAAATTAATGTGTGTATCATTGTCATATATTTTATGTATGAATTACTGTTTTGTATGTCATAGATGTATGTAACACCTGAGTGGAGATGGGTGGGAACCTTCTGCCTTATCCCCTTTCACTTTCTTTGACTTGCTGCTTGATAATTTTTAATAATGTTTTTCAGTCATTTGCCAAGGCTGTTCAAAATTTTGCGACTGGTCACAAAATTTTGTGGGTCAGTTGGGGTGATGTCACAGTGTCGTGTTACGATTTTTTTATGTCAGGAATTTAAATTTAATTTAATCTTTCATAGTTAATAGTATCTGTACTTCTCCTTTTTTTATTTCTCTTCATTTTTTTCTGTGAAGAGAATTGGAAATGTCTCTTTTTTTACTTTTACATTAGCAACGCATTTTTGTGTCTTTCTCCTTTTCACCTTTTGCAATTCAAGGTCGTCTGACCCCACCGTCCTTCAAGGACGACATTCTTTTCCCTCACATTCTAATTTACGTCACCACTTAACTTCTTTTCCCTTCACTTTCACGTAACCTTCAAATTTTGCACGTGGTGATTCTTCCGGT